GGCAGACCCCCACCCTGGCAATGTGGCGGTGGACGAGGCGGGACGCCTGCTGTACTATGACTTTGGTGAGCGCGCCTTTCCCTAGACCGCAGGCACCCTCTCCCTTCCCGTCACACTGTCTCCACCTGCAACGCCCTCACCCGCAGCCTGCCTGCGCTCCCCTGTGGTTTCAGTTCAACTCAGACTTGCGATGCCCCACAAAATCACACACCGTTACGCCTGCATGCCTCGGAATCGCACGGCCGATCATACTGCCAGCAGCTGCCCGCTGCGCGCCGCTGTAGCCGACCCCTTTGCGGAGCGGCGAGTGCCTCTCCTATACTCGCCACTGTTCGCGTTTGGCTGCCCGTCCATCGCCATTCCTCCAACAGACCCGACTCTGCCAACCACCGTCACCACCCCCTTTCACCCAAACCTCCCCGATAATTCAACCACGGCAACCACTCCCAAGCACCCAGACCGCTCCAACCACCCAACCACTCCAACCACCCCCAACCTCCCCCCCCCCTTTTAGGCATGATGGGCACCATTCCCGGCAACGTGAGGGAGAACCTAATGGAGGTGTTCTACGGCATTTACAGGCGCGTGGACCCCGGGATGGGCAGGGGCTGGGGGTGGATAGCATTGCACTGCACTGCACTTGTTGCGAGACGTCAAAGACAGATCGTGCGGCCAGTCACAGAGTGCAAGCATCTGGCAGACACACGGGCACCAGGCAGACCTGCGGACGGTACTGGGAGTGGCGTTCACGAGCCGGCTTGTTTGGGGCCCAACGGCTGCAAAGCAGCAACAAGCTGCGTGACATGTGCCCGCGCCCCTTGCGGCTGAACGCTTCTTGCATCCATGCTCCACGGCTGAGCCCCCCCCCCCCAGCCGACATCGATCCACGGTGCCCGCACTGCGGCGCCTCGCCCGCTTGCTCCTGCTGTCGTTGCCCCCTCGATCCCTTGCCTTCCTCCTCGAGTGCCGCCCTGTTCATTGCCCCCACGGCCCCGCGGCGCCCACCTCTCATGATTGCAGGAAGGACACTGGTCAGGTGGTGGACGCTCTGACAGAGCTCGGGGTCATCAGGGCCACAGGGGACAGGTGGGTGGGCGCGCGCTTACGCCTGCGGCTGCGGATGTTGGTGCGCAAGTTCAATTTTACATGGCGTGCGCATGACCCTGCACTCACGTGTGGTCGTGGGCGAAAGGGCCGCCCTTGAAGTAAAGAGGCCCCACGTGAATCCTCGTGAGTGGGCGGGCGGCCTTGTCGCGCCTTCGTGGCAGGCGACCGGCAGCACTTTGACCTTCAACCACCCGACCTTCAAGCAGCCAACCACATTGCACGTCTGCGCCCCGCTCCTCCTGCCCAGGCTGTCTGTGCGCCGCGCCATCGCGTTCTTCCTGGAGAACCTCCAGCGCCAGCTGGAGCGCGAGGAGACGCTCGGGGTGCGCACACGCGCGCGCACGCGTACACACGCACGGGCAGCGGCATGCTCGGCGGCAGTTCACCGCCCAAACGCGCCCCCTGCTGCTGAGAGCGGCCTGCCGAGCGTCCATCCCTGCTGGCCCCACAGGTTCCCGAGCGTGCCGCCGCCGCTTGCAAGCAGCGGCCTGCACTCGGACTTTGGTGGCAGCACGCCCGGCCCGTCGCGGCTGGGTGCGATAGCCCTCGAGCCTGCTCTGCTAGCACATGCTCAGCAGACTCTGCTCGATGCAGACATGCGTTTGATCTTGCGTTGCCCCTGCTGCCCCCTGTACAGGCCATTGGCGAGGACCTCTTCGCCATCGCCCTGGACAGCCCATTCAGGTTCCCGGTGAGAACTTCACGCTGCCGCCTGCCTTGCCACGCCCCTGTCGTGGCCGCGGCTCGGCCGCCTGAGCGCACGTCTCGCGCCCGCACTCAGCGCTCGGCTTTTGAGCTGGGAGCCGCGGCCCTCCACCCCGGCAGCCCCCACGCATCCGCCGCGCCTCCAAGACGCGCCCCCGCGCTCGTCCCGCCGACCGTGCTGCTTCGGCTCACACAGCATACCGCCCCGCCCGGCCCGTCGCAACGCCTCGCCCCGCCCGTTTTGCAGGCGACGTTCACGTTTGTGCTGCGCGCGTTCTCCACCCTGGAGGGCATCGGCAAGACCCTGGTGCCCACCTACAGGTTTTCGGAGGTCGCGCAGCCCTACGCTACGGTGCGCAGCACGCAAAGTTTGTTGGCGTGTGCGTGAGTGCGTGCGTGTGTAGGTGTGTGTGTGTGTGTGTGTGCGTGCGTGCATTTTTGTGTGTGGTGGGAAGATAGGACTGCGGGCCAACGCAGCTGGATAAAGTGGGTGCCTCCAACGCGGCAGGCAGACAGTGAACGATTCCTGTCGCGTGCTGCCTTGCTGCCCCTGCCCCGCCGGTGGCTGGCCGGCCCGCCCCGCGGGGCCCGGGCCCGGTGAACCTGCCGGCCCGGCGAGCGCCGTCCCCCTCCCCGCAAACCACCCCCCTGGCGCCACCGGCCCCCCAAAGTATCTATCCTTCCCTTGCGAATGGGCCAGATGCGACCCTCCCCACCCCGCCCGCCCTGCCTGTGCAGGAGCTGCTGCAGCTGCAGGACGCCTCCGGCCGCAACGATTTTGTTCTTGCCCAGCTGCAGCAGCAGGCAACCGAGCTCGGCCAGGCCGCCGCCGCCATGCCCACCCGTGTCGCCGCTATCAGCGACACCATCGACCAGATCACGGCCGGAGATCTGAAGCTGCGGGTTCGCGATCTGGAAGGCGAGCGGGCGGCGCGGCGCGCCGGCATAATGCAGTCCGTCACGCTGCAGACCGTGGCGGGGCTGGGGGTGATGAACGTAGGGGTGCAGCTGTCGCTGGCCGGCAGGGACGGGCCGGGCGCGGCGGTGTTTGCGGTCGCGGGCGTGTTTGGCGTGCTTGCGCTGCTGGGGCTGCGGCGGGTGCAGCGGCTGGACAAGTTTGAGAAGGACCTGCGGCAGGGGCGGTGACGGGGATGCCCCCTGACGCGGACACGTGTGCCGATGGTTGACTCAGTCAGGGGCGGTGACAGGGCGACCCTTGTCCCCCTTCAGACGCGAACACGTGTGCCGACGTTTTGACGGCTGAGCCGAGCGCTGTCTGCTGAGCGTGTTGGGTGCACCACGCTCCCATTGGAGTGAGTGCGGTTGTGTCGGTTGCTTGGTTTCCTCCCGTTTGCCCCCAGCTTATTGCTGTTGTGTGCCGCACGATTGGTTTCAACTTTTCATCCAACGCCGAAAGGCGCGGGGCGACGGCAGTGATGCTGTCGCGTGAGTCAACAACCGCCGCACAGATCACCTTAAACGGCCTACCCCTGGCTTGTACAGGGGATCGCCGCTCGGCAAAAAATTGGGCCCTGCTGTGTTTGGCAGTTTGCGGTGAGCCCAGTAACACCAACTTGCACCGCACCCGTCGATTGTCGCTTGTGACCGAGCCCCAATCGGCGGTAGCCATGGCTGCTTGCAGGGCAAGTGCCTGCGGTCAACGCTGCATCAATTCCCACAGGCATGTGTTCAAAGCCCTTGAAAATTGAGCAGTTGGGACCATCAGAAAACAAAGCAAGTACGCGTACCATATACGAGTTTCAATTATGATGCCTGTGGCAACATCAGGACGCCTGGAAACGCCACTGCACATCAAACAGCCAGCCCACAAAACAAGAACAAAACGTGATCATAACAGCTCAACATGGGCTACCCTCTCCCGGCAGCACTACACAGGGGCGCCTGCAACGAGGTTTCGCAAGCGCCGCCAACGCCGGAGGTGTTAGCCACGGCCGCAACGGTGCCGCAAGGGCACGCGGTGCCGGCGGGCGTCGCCGTTGTTCACCGGTTCCTGGCCGAGAGGATCCCCGCGACCCCGACGCTCACGCCCGCGCCAATCACCGCCGCCGCCGCCAGCACAGCCGCCGCCGTCGCGACGCCCGCGCCCACCGGGCCGCCGCCGCCGCCGCCGCCGCCTTGCTGCTTCGCTTTGACCAAGTCGTTCACAAACGCGCAGGTGCCCTCTACAAACGCGTCCTTGCCACTTTCAGATATGAATTGGCCATGGGCCATGGACACTTGGTCAAACTCCCAGGCCGCCAGGATGTGATCTAGGCTGGTCTTCAGGGCGGCTGGGAGGGGGTGGCGCGAGATGAACGTACGGGAGGAGCGTGCGCGCACTCATCAGGACGGGACCCCAGAGGCTGGTGGTGGCAGCAGCGCAGGGGCAGAGCGCCGGTTGGTGCCCAGCTGGCCACCAGCGTAAGGCAGGCGTTGCGGCCCTCCGCCCGACCAGACACCCGCAGCCCCACACCCAGCCTCCGTCCACTTGCGCCTGGCCCCTTGCATGCCCCCCCGCCCCGCGCGCCGCCCACCTGCATCCTCTATTAGATATCGGAACGGCTGCGTGAAGCAGCAGCGCCTGCGGCCGCCCGCCAGCCCCAGGTACAGCCGCACCCCCGCCCCCAGCCGGCCGCCGGCCCCCGCGGCCCACTGCTCGTCAAAGTTGAAAGCCGTGTCGGTGAGGACGAGCGTCGACGACGGCTTGTGCAGGAGTGCAAGCTCTGATAAGAAGGCCAGCCCCTGGACCTGCCGAGCGGCGGTGTCATGTGGGGCGTGGGGTCGAGGACGTGGAAAACGGGTGACGGGCTGGGGCTTGGTGCGGATTCAAGGATGCGTATGCTGCGACGGCAGCTGGTACGCGAATGTGGACGCCGGTGCATGCAGTGATGAAGCAATATCACGCGAGATGAAGCAATGCCAAGGCGCGGGTCGAAGGGTAGTCGGCCGGGCGCAGCAAGGGGGAGAGGCCGCGGCTCGCTGCCGCAGGCGCGGGTCCGCCGCACCGAGATGACGTCGATGGTAGCTGCCGGCCAGCTTCCCGGCAGGTCCTGCACGCCCGCGGCGGTGACCCTGACGTCCACGGGCAGCTCGGGCCGCTTGAGGGCCAGGGCCACCGGCGCGACCAGCAGCGAACCGGGGAAGGCCGCCTTCATCGCGGCCGCCCACCACCAGTGCGCCTGCGCGTCGGGGTCGAGCGTCGAGGGACAGAAGAGGTGCGGGGCTGGAAGCCGAGCGGGCGGGGTGGGTGGAGGCGCAGGGGATCGGGTGGAGGGGAAGAGGAGGCTTTGCGTTTTCCAAACATGCGGGGGGTTTGAGGGTTGCTGGCGGCGGAGCGGCCCCAGGGGGAATCAGCAGGTGGTGTGGGGCGGCAGCAGCACGGGGCTGACGGGCATTCCGGGGTGGTGGGGCCGCTGATTTGGACGCAGGCCGCCTCACCTTATTTGGGGCGACCACAAAGTTTACATTGCCTGTGTCTTGCAGCCACGCAACGACCTGCGGAGCAGGCGGCGGGGGAAGGGGCGATGTTTGAGCTCGCGTGCTAGCAGACTACTCGGCGCCTGCGCAGGCCAGCTGAAGGCGCGGCGGAGCGCCACCCCTGAGGAAAACGGTGCCGCAGCTCGCCCTTGGCGGCATTCAAGGGGCTCACGCCTTCGCCGGCC